CCTACTGTACATGTAAAAATTTTTATTTTATATAAGCGAACCCAGTAGTACAATACTATACAGTAAAGCATACTGAATGTAAGTGCCTCCATCACTTCCACCACCTGCATCACCTACCATGCCTGTGTCACATACCATGCCTCTCTCATCTACCATACCTGTGTCACCTACAATGCATCTGTGTCACCTACAGTACTAAGATGCTTCATTCTTTGCCTGCAGTGCTGGTAAGTGTTCCTCTTTTACATTTAGTAATTACATGTACTCCCACTAAAAAATTATTCGGCACCCTTTGCTCTGATACACCCCTGCAACGATCATTGGTACAGAAGCGGTGATTACCTGGTGTGGTTGGTACCCCTCTCTCTTTTTGAGAGAGAGAGAGAGAGAGAGAGAGAGAGAGAGAGAGATATGATGTTTTCTGTAGCCACGTGTAGTATTTAACGGATAATAAACGGGAATACATAAAGTGTTACAGATAGTACGAAAGCCTCTAAAAAGCATAGCATTACCCACTGTAATATAATAATCAAACCCACAATCTGAATTAATGTGTGCATGACAACCAATGAATCAGGATGCCATTTATGGATTTCTTACATTATGAGATGCAAGGACATAAACCCACATCATTACGAAGTGTAGATGATGGAAAGTATGTAAACGTCCAGTAATATAAGACCACATGCACAAAGAACGCAGAATATTTGTGTATCAAAGTGGTGATATAACATTAAGCACAGTACTGACATGATTATGAAGCAGGGAATGAGTCACGAAACGAGGTATGATATTTCTTTAGTATGCCAAACATGATAAGATTGGTAGGTCCACCGGATGGGGGCGACTGGGTAGTTTAATTCATCTGAGACAAACAATGTTAGTGTTAGCAGAGACTTTTATCACAGGAGGTTTGTTATCTGAATACTAAAATGTATCGAATATGTTGGAAACGGAACTGGTTCAACCTGCATTGAGTTGAGCTTTGGAGCGAACAGTAGGAATCGTAATGTTTATTTCGAATCATAGCAATGTTAGAGGAGATAAAAACCTCGGAGAAGACATGCACAGCATTCATCGCACTACACGGTGTGGGCCTCAGCAATGGTGAAATTGCTAGGCGGGTTGGAGTGTCCAAGCACACCGTAGCCCGATGGATACAACGCTACGTCGAAACTGGGGACACCTTGCATAAGCGTGGATTGGCCATGCCTCGGTGCACAACTCAGCAGGCCAGAGATACCAACCATGCACCGTACCTCAGGAGTTTTTTCAAAAATTCTCATGTGATGTATCATTGTACCATGCCGTAAGGGTGTTGAATAATTTTTTATTAGGTGTACACATATATGGGAAGATAACTTTTTATTGTTGTATTTTCGTAGGAGGGGGAAAAAGTGCCTCAATAAGTCGGAATTTGGGATAACTCAGCAAGGCCAGAGCCACAGATGTACCGAGTTATTGAGGGTTTACTGTACTGCATATTTATAGAAATTAAATATAAACAAATACTATTGTGATACAATGATAAGTATCACACATTTGGTATGTCATATTAGGCGAGTGGACAACTCTTAGGAATCTACTTGATTTTTTCACTAATGTATAACAAAATTATGAATACTTTAGTAATAAAGCCAGTGATTTCTGTTAGAGGTGTTCTGATTATGTATACAGTGATCCCTCGGTTAACGAAGGCCTCGGTTAACGAAATTTCGGTTAACGAATTACCTTCCATAAGAATATTCAATTCGGTTAATGAACAAAAATTCGGTTCACGAAATTCTTACTAAAACATGTCAACATGTTTTCGCTTGCTCACCAGCTGGAAGATTAGTCCAACAATACAGTAATCGGTTCTAGGGCTTAAATTCGTTCCCATTTGAGTAAATATCAAGAAGGTTGTGCTATTAAATAGTTTTCCAAGTTTTATATTAAAATTATTAGCCATTTTAACACTTATTTAACATATTTGCAGTACAGGGAACTAGTTTTTGGTGCACCCATCAGCCACTTGACTCGCCCACCAAGGCGTCTGTTTGTGTCTGTTCAGTGGAGGTAACATCTTGCTTGTGGCTCTCTTGAACATAAACTATTTTTACATTTTTACAGTACAATTATTGGTAATTCTGAAATTTATTTGACACATTGATAATATTTAGTGCAGTGCAGTGTTGATTTAAAGAAAATAATCTTTAATTACAGTAATTAAACTTAAAAATTTAGTGGTGAAATTTTTATTGAGTCCAGCATGGGTCCAAAGAAATCTAGAAAGGCGATTTCAATCCAGGTGAAACAAGAAATTATAAAGAAACATGAAGAAGGCATTAGAACAAATGTGCTTAGTAAAAAATATGGCATGTCGGCATCAACTGTGTCTACAATTCTTGCGCAGAAAGACAAGTTTAAAGAAGTGATAGTGAAAGACAAATCTACCAGTGTTTAAAGGTAGATCCTGAATTTCAGAAACAGAGAAGTTACTTCTCATTTGGATTAAGGAAAACAAATGAAAGGAGATTCAATTTCGACAGAATTTATTGGTGAAAGAGCCAGGGAAATATACGAACATTTGAAGGAAGAGCAACCTAGTTCTTCTGGCAGAGAGTTTGAAGAGTTTAGGGCCAGCAAGGGTTGGTTCAAAAAATTTAAGTTGAGAAGTGACATTTTTAGTGTTGTTAGGCATGGTGAGGCTGCCAGTGCAGATAAAGAAGGAGCAGCAAAATTTGTAGTGGAGTTTAAGGAACTGGCGAATGAAAAGAATTATCTTCCACAGCAAGTGTTCAATGTGGACGAAACTGGGCTGTTCTGGAAGAAAATGCCCAAAAGGACATTTGTCATCGGGGATGAAGCCTCTTTACCTGGGCATAAACCCATGAAGGACCATCTCACTCTATTGCTTGGTGCCAATGTTTCAGGGGATTTCTGTCTGAAGCCTATGCTTGTCTACCACTCTGAAAATCCCATGGTGTTCAAGCAACAAAAGGTGGTAAGAGGACAACTTGGAGTTTATTGGAAGTCCAACCATAAGGCATGAGTAACAAGACAGCTCTTTAATGAATAGGCTGTTGAGGTGTTTTGCCCTTCTGTGAAGAGCTACCTAACCACCAATAAACTTCCTTTAAAGGTTCTTCTCCTTATGGATAATGCCCCTGGTCATGACCCTGAACTTGCCAGCACTTTGGAGGTTCGATTTGACTCCCAACACTACATCAATTATTCAGCCAATGGACCAAAATGTAATCAGCAACTTCAAGAAGCTGTACATGAAGAAAATGTTCAGGAGGTGTTATTAGGCAACTTCCACTGATCCTGAACTAACACTGGCACAGTTCTGAAAGACACAATTCAACATCCTGGAGGCTGTAAAATTGATTGTGTCATCATGGCAAGAAGTCTCCATTGGATCTCTCAATTCTGCATGGAAAGCACTTAGGCCATCAGCAGTCCATGATTTTGAAGGATTTGAGGAAGAAGCGAAGTTGGACAAGGAGATTGTGTCCATTGGTCAGTCAATGGGCCTCGAAGTGGAGGAGGATGATGTGGAAGAGCTTGTGATGTCTCATGAGCAGGAACATACTCCTGAAGACTTGCAGCAACTGGATGAGATGTTAGAGGCTGACAGTGGTGAGGAGGAAAGGGAAAGTGATGATCATATGTATTCTTCAGACTTAAACATGTTGTTCAACACTGGGAGATGTTCAGGAAACTGGCTTCAAGGCACCCTGATGTGGAAACAACAGAACCTATTTTGTGTAATGTTCAGGACAAAGTGGTCTCCTTCTAAAACCAGTTAATGACAAGGAGAAATGCCCCACAAAGAAAAATTGACAGTTTCTTCTCTAAAAGGCAGTGGGAGAAAGATGCTATCCCTCAGCCTTCCACTTCAAAAAGGAGAGAGGATTTTCCTGCTGGAGAATCTGTCAGTCCAGAGGTTCCTTACATTTTTATGGAAGGTGACTCGCCTTCCAAGAAGCAGTAAAATGCTTTTCCTACACCCCCACTTCCTTCTCCTCCTCCCACTTCAAATTCATATCACCATCATCAACCAGGAGCCTTCTACATACACACCTCAAAGTAAGTATACTTTACTGCATTTTTTTTTTTACTTAATATGTAATTTTCGGTGAGCTGGAACCAATTACCCAAAATCCCATTGAAACAATGGTTTCGGTTAACGAACAACCCTCTGGAACGAATTGAGTTCATTAACCAAGGGACCACTGTAATAGTGGAGCAGATGGGTACCACCAGAAGGAGTTGTTCAATTTTATTAATTTTTTCCCACAGAGGTTTACCTGTAGTATAGCTCTGCAATGTTGCATACATCATCGTCCTCAGTGTAGTAATTTCTGGTTGGAATTTAGATTTTCTGATTATATTTTGTTTTCTGGACTTCTGAATGTGTCCAAATTCTGACAGTACTGTAGTGTCATATTATGCGGATGTTTCCAGTACAGTACCTGTACCACCTTATTTTCAAAACTGACCGAGCTAGTACTGTACAGGTATACCACTGATAAGGAGGCAAATGTGATTAGTAGACAGTAAATAACATCTGTAAAAGAAAAATAAGTCTCCTACATTTCTTAAATAATTTTGCAAATTCACTTTATTGCACTCATACACCCGATTGATTAAGATTGTTTATAAAATCTATGTTTACATTCTTGAACTTGTAACATATAATAAAGACCATCTTTTTCCTGTAAACATCAATGCATTAATTACCTGTGACTTACATAACTATGCTATAAAATTTACCTGTATACATACCACTGTAGATATATACAGGTAAATATATATATATCTATACTATACTATTGCATTTTCTTTTCTTTTAATGAAAATTAAATCAATCTAAACTTAAGAAAAAATCTTCATTTACATTGATTATTACCAAACATTTTAGAACATGAAACAATTATGTAAACATAAAATAATTTTAAAGCAATTTGGTATAATTATACAGGATCAAATACAATTAAAAATAGGAGACTAACCATGTACATTGACAGGGCAATTGGCAAGTAGAATGAGTAATACGCAGTCTTGTACTTAACAATAGCATTATAACGCTCCATGCTAAATTTGCTCAGGTTTGGTCTCTGTCCTGCTGGGCATGACAGAAGGTCCAAAGCTTGTCCAAGTGCTGTTTTTAATGTCATCTGAAAACAGAATATAATGTATTTTAAAAATAAAATTATAGCACTATGAATGTCTGACTAGAGTACACTGTAGTGAACAAATGATATACAGAATAAAATTTGGCTATAATAAACTATGACATGCTCAGGGAGTTGTGACGCTGCCTTGTCAGTTAAGAGGCTGCTTGAAAGTTCTAAATATAATGACCAGTTCCTACTCTGTAAAAGTAGGTTGGTGATAGGAAGGGCATCAAATTTGCCTGATGGTAATCAGGATACCATGCCATTGGGTTATTATGGTAACCCAAGCAAAAGTAGAAAATAGTCATAAAATGATGATAATGTTGATATCAGTTAGCTGTTTACAATGCATTGTATATAAAATATACTGGTAGAAGCGTCAAACTGCAGATGATGTATCTTATGGTTTCATTAATCCATGGAAGTACTGTACCAGCTTGGGGAAAATGTAAACATTGTCGTCTTACAGATGACTATACAGGTGTCTGTAAAGCAAAGAAACAACTCTTACTTGAAGAAGCTTTGACCAACAATCTGTAGTTAAGAGGGAAAACAACAGTACTGTACTGTACTGCATATCTGCAAGGCTGTGAAAATTTAATGCAAGTAAGACTGACCTACATCTTAAAACATGTATGACACAATAAATGGAATGACCAAATTATGTAACTGCAAAATTATTTAGTAATCTCATTCCAGTGACAATGTTGTTGATTCATATCTGTTACTGCATTATTCTAATTTTCTCTTATTCTCTCTGAGCTTGGTTTAATATGATTACCAGTCACATTACCAGCTTTTACAGAATTTTTCATGCAACTTTAAAGGAGAGTTGGATGTTGGCCCAGGAGAAATAACTCAAAATCTACACGACCAAATTTGTAGACAGAGAATTAACGTAAGACACACAAAATGAAACAAAAGCCTCTATGCCCTAAATGCAAAATTTAATAGAATATGATTTAACATTACAATAAGTGCTCTTCACGGTTTTTCCCATATGTTGCACAATATTTTTGGTATTACTGTATTGCAGTTTCGGGCAATATGCCCTAGTAGTTTAAAAATTAGTTTATCTTGTGTATTTTGGTGTGATTTAATCGAATTTGACCTTTATTTCCAGGGGAAAGTACCCGCACCCATACACTGACAGCATACAAGACATCAGCGAGCCTGACCCTCAGCCTGTCCTTGGCCCCTCGACTTCTAATTAAGGTATTGTACCGATTTAGGGGTTAGGTTTGTTTAAATTAAGTTAGGGTAGGTTAGTTTAAATTAAGTTAGGTTAGTTTAAATTAAGTTAGGTTAGGTTAGTTTAAATTGGTTAGGTTAGTTTAAATTAAGTTAGGTTAGATTAGGTTAGTTTAAATTAAGATATGTTAGGTTTCATTACCTGGGGGGGGGGCACACGGCCGACTGTTTTAACCATCCCCAAACTTTAGATCTCCTTATTTGGAGTATTTATAACCCCATTTCAACCAGAGAGCAAAGAATAATATCAGAAATTAATTTTAAAGTTTTCCATCCGGGGGGGGGGACTCTAAAACGGGTATTTTCCCAAAGAAATAAAGGTTAAATTTGACTAAATTACACCAAAATACACAGGATAAACTAATTTCTAAACTACTAGAGCAATTTTACCATATTTTTTATAAAGATTAACAAAGTCTCAGACACTTCAAATACATTAAGCAACTAACCTCATGGAAGAGTTCTAGCATATCCAAATAATAAGGGGCATCTTGGAAGTGCTTCAGTAGAAGCTTATAGACTCCTGCCTCAAGAAGGATGGCATCATTGAAGGCACTGAGGCCCAAATTATCATTACGGTACCATGAAGGCTTTCCACGTCGCATCTTGCTTCCATCAATGATGTCATCTGATACTAGGAAGAAGCTCTGAAGCTGAAGAAACAATAAATCACCATATGAGTGTCTTAGGTCACATTCTAATAAAATATAAACATGAAATAGTAATCAACAACTAACAGTACTTGAGTCTAATGTAGACACCAAAAGGAGAAGGATTTAACCCTCCATTTTTTATTTATATCATATACAGCAGAGTACCCTGTACTAAGGAACCAGATAATTTGCATGGCATATCCATAAATATCAAATGTGTGGTCCAAGAAGTTTTGGGTAGAGGAACATAGCGAGCACAGCTATGTGCACTTGATATTAAGAGAAATTCTGAGGTCAATAGTACAGTAATTACTTTTTACTATATAAAAATGCCTGAGTACAGTATTACTGTATTACAGAAAAAGTATTGGAATTTTCTTTTGAAAAGGAGGGGTCTGGATCCGCCCTTGATTTGATAATCAAATCTGTAAAGTTTGGTCGAGATGATATATTATGTGCCTATAATACTGTACATGTAACTTGTATGTACTGGTACAGGTTGACAATCCCTTATCCGAAATCCTTGGGGCCAGAGGCATTTCGGAATTTTTCGGTTTTCAGAATGGTTAGTTTTTTTCTGTGTGTGTGTGTTTATCAGCCCACCCAGGCTCAAGTCACTGACCCACATTGGGGCCTGGGAGGCAAAAATATATTAATAATTATAATTATAATAATAATAATTCATAGGTCTAGGTCGTGTTTCTCACTTTTTATCTTTTTTTCATTCTTGTATTTCTCTATTATTATTATTATTATTTTATTAATACAGTATTATTATTATTATTATTATTATTAATAATTTTATTATTATAGTTTCTTATTATTGTTATTATTATTTTATTTTGGTGTATTTTTTATTAAAATTTGTATTTACTATAAATAATTATTATTATAATTAGTATTACCATTACATTTTTGCTCCCCAGGCCCCGATGTGGCTCAGTGATCTATGCCTGGGTGAGCTAAGCCCTGTTAAAACAAAAATAAAAATAAAAAATAAATAAAAAATTGCTCCACAAAAAAACTTTCGGTTTTCAGAGCTTTTCGGTTTTCGGATAAAGGGTTGTCAACCTGTATATGTTATTAGTGGCCACATACCACCATCCAGTTCTAGTTTCTTTCCCACCCAATCTAATCTTGAGTTCCTTTCCCACACCATTCAATCCAAATAGTACAATATTCTGTATAGTGAACAACCATGGAGACATCACATAGCCTTACCTCACTCCTACTTTCACCCCACAGCTCTTGCTTAGTCTTCTATCTTATAAAAAGTTTATATATACTGCACTAAGTGGCTTTCCTCCCACTCCATAATTTGCTATTACTTAGACACAGTGCTTACCAATTTACCTTGTCAATGTCTTCTCCAAAATGATAATTGTTATAGCTACAAAAGGTATAGTTATTTCCTAATTTTGTAATGCACATTCGTGCGAGGCCTAGAAAATGGAGCTCAGGGATGTGGGTACGAGAAAATAGAAATAACAAATAAGAAGAGAATAGGGGCAGTGATAAATAAGGAAGAAAAAATGAGCAATAGTTGCAAGTAAAGCATCATGAAAAGGAGAAAGGTTACAAGAAAAGCAAAAAGAATGATGTAAGAATGCAAAAGGAAAGCAGAAGAAAGGTTGGGAAAAAGGAGGTTACAAACTTTTAAAGCGAACATGAAATTGTTTGTTCTGAAGGGAAATCAAATGGGTGAGAAAACCAAGCAAATTGAAAACGTAGTTAACTGTTGTTGAGATGAAACGTACAACTCACCAATTCGATACACCAGCCAAGAATATGAGCCCGTTGTATGTTTTCTGGAGTTATGAGATCTGGCGATGCTAAAAGTTTAAAAGATAATGACACTGCTAAACCTCGGTTCATTTTTCCTCCAACAGCATTATACTGCAACACCTGTAGAAAAATTTAAAGATATTTCAAACACAACAACCTAAATTTTTTAAATTAAAATAATTACAAGCTTCACCATCTTAACCCTCTACCACCTTACATGCATATTGGAGATTCAATTTGATTTGTAAAACAATGCCGAAAGATGTACACATATCTGCTGGTATTTTCCTCTCTCACACACTAAGCTCACTACAACAAATTCTCAATCATTGGATACTCATTCAGTGGGACCTAACTGTATCTTTTGTTATTTTTTCTTTGTTTTTTCACAGGTAAGAGTATGTTCATGATATGTGACTCTCTTCTCATGTAGGGTAGTTCAGGTTTATGATCTGGAATACTTACCCAAAATTCAGAACTGCATCAACTTTGGATACTTTGAGACATTCCATTTAAAATAATATAAAGTAATGAATGAATCTGTCATGTAGCCTAATTGTCCATACTTCTGGCAAAATCCCACTTTCCTCCCTCTGTGGAGGAAATCAGCAACCTTCAGAACCAAGAGACAGGTGCACCTGCCACTCAAACTGGGAATCACCCTCAACAGTACCAGTCATCTAAATTCTGTTGGTTGTAGCACTTGTGAGTACGTTACCCCCACTAATATAACTTTCTCTGACCTTCCCTTTTCACACCTCAATGACCCTGAGTTTTTACTTTCCTTAATCAATACCAAAATTCCTACACTGACGATGCTAGTGTCGCTCCCTTAGATGTAATAGATCGCATGTGTTACAACCCCTTCACCCATGGTGTCGACACAATACTCCCTCATATTGACCCTGATGCCTTTCTACAACTCACTGGGTTACACCAACCCCAATTGTACCTATACTTTCCTGACTCTCCCGAGTTTAGTTCTAGTCTTCTTCTACCTCATTACCTTCTCCTTATTTAGCCATAACATCAGCCATATTCCCCTTCACTTAGATATCTTTTTAGAGCAGTGTATATCTTCTAATGCCCACAAATTTGATGTACAGTGGTCCCTCAGTTAACGAACGGTTCGGTTAACGAAATTTCGTTTAACGAATTACCTTCCAAAAGAATCTTCAATTCGGTTAACGAACAAAAATTTGATTAATGAAATCCTTACGAATATCACGTTTTGTTGTGAGCATCAGCTGATCAGCTGATGGGCTAGTCTGCCAATTCAGTAATCTGTTCTATTTTTACATTCGTTTACAGTGGAGCAAATATCAATAAAGTTGTGCTCTTTAATATTTTTGCATTTTTTTATATTAAAATTATTAGTTATTTTAACATTTATTTAACATATTGATAATATATGCAGTACAGGGAACTAGTTTTTTGTGCGCCCATCAGCAGCTTGACTCAGCCACAAGGCATCAGTTGGGCTTTGAAAACAGTGGAGTGAACATCTATTTTGTTGGTGTCTTGAATATTTTTGCATTTTTCATTGAAATTTTTGGTCATTCTGAAATTTAGTTAACATATTGATAATATATAGCACAGTGCAGTGTTGATTTCAATAAAATAATCTTGAATTACACCTAGTGAACTTAAAATTTTATTGGTGAAATGATGGCATCAAGCATGGGTACCCTGAAAGGTGATTTCTCCTCCATCCCCACTTCCTTCTCTTCTCCCTTCTCCTCCACCCCCACTTCTAATTCCCATCATCATCATCAACCAGGAACCTTCTACATACACACCTCAAAGCAAGTGTACTTTACTGCATTTTTTTTTACTTTATATGTACTTTTTGGTGAGCTGGAACCAATTACCCAATATCCCATTGAAACAATGGATTCGGTTAACGGATGACCCTCTGGATCGAATTGTGTTCGTTAACCGAGGGACCACTGTACTTGGGTTGTGAGACCACTCACAAACGATATTGAACATTTGTATAACATCCCTAATTATAATATACACTGCGTACCATATATCTCAGCCTACAAGGTTACGGGGTGTATAAGACGACCCCAAAAATTTCCATTTAAAAAGTAGGTTTTGAGCTCTATTCGCTGTATAAGACTACCCCAAATGTGACACTTACCATTGGGAGCTTACTGACCCAGTAGTCCTTTACCAACCATCCCAATGACCAGTGCTGTTTACACACCCTTGGTTATTTAAAATAAGGCCAACTCACTTCAAGTACTGTAATGGCATCAACTGTTACCGGTTGGTGTAGTGTAAACACTAGTGGCATCACTTAAGCGTCTGTTATTTAACTGAAACTAATGTCGGTGTCGAGTAAAATTTTTTCATTTACTTGAAATGGATTTACCGATTTATTTGTTTATTATTTATTTATAATATACTGTAATACATTAAACACACTGCAATTATTTTCTTTAATTTATAAACTTGCTTCACGAGACGATCAGTGGTGGGACTGTGTTTGGACTGTTTACACCAGCTATTCTAATTCAGTAGTGTTTCATTAGGATTTGAGTGAAAAAGATTACATACTTACTACATACATTTATTACACAAACATATATACAGCTAGACCCCGACTTACGACAGGGTTAGGGACCCAAATCCAGGTCGTAAGTCCGACATAGATAAAAAAAAAAATTTTTTTTTTTCAATAAAAAATCTACAATAAAATACAGTACAGTGAAAGTAATAAATAATGAGGAATGGATACAGTGTGACTGAGCACTTACCTTTAATGTAGTCAGCTGAATGCACATGGGGCCCCCATAATTTTCTAATTATACATGGAGACTACTTTAACTGGAAACGTTTCGGTATAGAAAATGTGTGTCATTTGAAAGAAAAAGAAAAAGAAAAAAAAAAGAAAAAAAAAGGGAAAAAATGAAAAAATAAAAATAAAATGGTCACAACTGCGGCGGTCGTAAGTCGGGGTCTAGCTGTGTGTATATATGTATGTATGTATGTATGTATGTATGTATATATGTATATGTATATATATAATATATATATATAATGTACATATATATAATATATATATATATATATATATTTCCAGTTGTAATGAAATTCGATTCTTGAACTGCCTTCCATAAGAGACCAATTGATTCTTGAAAAAAAAAGAATACATAACAGACTTCTTCACGAACCGACCTCAACATGTTTTTGTACTGACCAGGAGCAGCAACCAGCTTGTCATCAGTCCATACTACAGTAATCCAGGAGCCTTCTACATACACACCTCAAAAGTAAATGAACTTTACCATTTTATTCTGTGCAGGACTGAGAGCAATATATATATATATATATATATATATATATATATATATATATATATATATATATATATATATATATATATATAAATATATATATATATATATATATTTATATACATATATATATATAATCAACGACCTCACCAGCAAGGAATCGAACCCTCGACCTACTGGGTGGGACTAGGGAACGCTTACCGGCTAGGCCACAAGGACACTAAAAGCAGTTCTAGACTCTGTTATATTTCACACAAAGCCTGTTCATCGAGCTGATGGTGCCGTGAACCTCATAGTTGCGTTTATTCATTACAATGCACAGTTTCCATACACCGACATGAATAGCGGTGGTATCTGTGTGTGACGTCATACAATCCCTGAACCGGCCTGGTGTTCTAGGTGGCATTGCACCAACTCATTTGTCCAGTTTTATCACACTACATTATATCACTGAGTGTATACATTTTATTTTAATTTTCATATAAAGTGTTTATATACAGAAAATGGGTATCCATTCCGCTTGCAATACCGGTGATACAATTGAGATAACTAGCATTAATAGTGTATTCTCTATATGAAGCTCTTATACACATTGAGTGTGTCTTACCACTGTCATCGGCCCACTCGCTCATCGGGCGATCCCAGACCAGCAAAATAGTAAAATCTTGTCGCCCTTATGATATTTTGGTCGCCTCAGGCGACCGGGCATATGTGAATTTCTACCCGTGATCCTTTCCAAATTATTCACCATCACCCTGGGACCTACTGGTGGGCCTGAGATGGAGTTATTCAAGTTTCAAAAAGAGTTGGTTGGCCCTTAATCAACAAACCTGACTTCCAGCCTGCCAGTGATGAGTTATTCATTCGCATGCCAACTAGACTCCAACAGGAGATGACATTATTCTACACTGATGTGATCAAGAGCATGACTCCCAAAAGGACTAAAAATTTCCATGTTGATGATTTTTCGTGTACAGTCTTGAATTTGATGCCAGCATTTGTAAACAAACGCACCTCTGGCATACCAGCCACACAAGTAAGACGACCCGTAATTCATCAGCGAAGATGGACAGGCTTACCGACCCTACCCTTGACGGTCCTGCAGGGAGAAGAAATGGTTCAATCGATTGAAACTAGCACTTGAAGGAACAACTCTTACCTGCCGGTTCTTCGTGGAAGAGGGAACGTGGGTGATTAAAAATTCTGGGCGTAGAACAGTACAAAAAAATTCAGTTGAAGAAAACATTGCAACATTAGGGCCTCTTGCATTCCACCTGTACAGTACAGTATTCATTCTGGTGAATAATGCACTTGCCAGCATGATACAATATAGTGTACTGTATAAAAAATACACTTTTATTACACAATTACTGTACATAATACAAAGTATAATTTACTTTGTGGACAGTAAATATCAATGCAATAAAGCTGGAGAATTGTAGCAGGCCAGCAACTCGAGCTTTTTATAAATACTGTACTATACAGCTTATTATCTATTGTACTACTTTACCAAATTCTGGAATTGTGATTTTGGATATCAGTACTACTGAGTAGTCCCAAGCTTGCTGGATTCCAGATTATAAACCTGTAGCTACTTCAAAATTGCCCCCCCCCACCCCCCCAAAAAAAATCTCAATTCTACTTGTTGATAATCCTTAACAAAACTATTTAAGATCTGATAGATTCATGCAGCATTGTGTTAGATTCTCCTAAAATTGTAAACACTAATAAAAACTTTGTGAGTTTACAATTAAAAAAGAACATTAGTCTCAATATAGTACCAGGTACTGGTAGAACACAAATGCTATACCATTTTAAATTTCAGAGAAAGGTACTACCGTACAGCAAGGTATACTATTTTCAACATGAAGTTAATTATACAGTACAAACATGTACTGTACTGTATACAGTACTACTGTACTGTACTGTATACAGTACTACTGTACTGTATACAGTACAGTACATGTTTGTACTGTACTTGTACTTGTACTTAGCCCAGTATATCTTCAGTAGTTGAAAACCAAAAGTGTGACCCACTTCCTGAAATACTGACACACAAAAAAAGTAGAAACATATTGTCATTTTTATAATTTTTACCTTAGCATACCACTTCTGGGCATCTGGAATATCAGAGTAAGTCCCAACCTCTGCCAAGTCACGGACAATGTCTGGGAACAATGACAAAAACTCTCTCTTCTCGTCCTGCGAAGCTGCGTGTCCAGTCTTTGCAGGAGGCAAGTTAACTGAAGCCACTGTAGAGTGCTGACATGCTGGTAACCTGTTAAGAGACATTTATTTCATGATATATCAAAATACAGTACTGTATAACACACACACAAACACATTTAGAATACCGTACCACTGAATAAAGCACATCAAACTGACCCAAGTTTCTGCCACTAAAGATTCATCTTTAAAAAATAGCCACGATGACCTGGTGCCACACTTTTTTATTGGTGTATCTAGGATTAGTTCTTAATTTGCTTTCATTCACTGACGCTGAACGTGTGTGAGTGAGGCAGAGCGGACAACTACGTTATCAACATGTCGGCAAACAAGCGCTATCATTGATGCGCTCGGACGCTTCCCGCAAAATTTCCGTTAGAGAATCCAGACGTTATTATCAAAAATGGGTATCTATTGTAACTTGCCGTTATTGTCGAAAACGTTATTGTGGAAGTCATTATTGGGGAGAGCCTACTGTACTGTACTCTGATATTTTGTTTACCACTGTGTGCTGATCTTAATATTCCTTCACTTTATTATCAGGTTTTCCTCCGGTTAGTGAACTATGTATATCACCAGTGAATATCACTGTACCGTCTGTTCAGTACAGTACAGTATACTGTATCTTTCCTTCTTCCTCCATTTTTTTCTATGTGCTTCTTGTGACTTGGTAACTACAGGGCACAATACAGAATGTTTTTTAAAACAAAATGTTGGTAATGTACTTCACTCTACAGTATATTCTAACGCATAAATTAAATTACTGTATATCACCATTCACCAGCCACTCCAACAATGGTGTTTGTCCTAAAATGCTTCTACATAATATGGACAGAATGGTTAAAATATTTAGAGAATAAATCTTGAATAAGCATACATTGGAAATGTAGAACAGGAGACACAGAGGAAAAGTGTTAGTTTAGATGTGAAACCTGATACAGTATGTTAAAGTAGAGGGGGGTATTTTGAAATGGGGGGAAAGAACTGTTGGATTTGTTTGTTTAACAATCTCTGATGTGTTCATATTTTTTTTCGTTTTGTCTATAAAATAATTCCCAAAAAGCTTTGTTTTAAGTAAATGTCGACATTTTACATAATTTCTGACATTTTCACAATTTATTGTAAAAAAAGCAATAAATTCTTCATTCAAAGTACATCTTAAAAGTTTCTCACATTTAATATTCTTTCTGACATTTACAGTATGCATTCTTTTTGTTTTACAGTACCCTGTAGTTTGTTTTTGGTCCATTAAATTAAAATTTTCAAAAGGCTTGTTCATTTATATGTTTTAAGTGAAGTGAGAATTTTTTTAACATTATATGATGATTAACTAAAGATAAACGGTTTAAAATATTACTTGAAGTGGAATTACAAATTATGGAATGATGAATTACGGGGTCTTATTATATATGATCAAAAATATTTATTTAGCCTTAACTATAACTGGTTTCCAAAATTCTTGTGGTCAAGTCTTGCTTTGATTGACGATCAGTCAATCAACTTTTAACTCCTGTACAGTAATTATGTTAACTGTCATTGGTTGCTTTATCCATGGAATTTCCCAAATGCTTGGAAAGTTGGGAAAAGTTCTTTGTCGCTAAATTAAAATGGCGATTTAGCATATTAAATGATTATAAAAACTCCTCATTTTCAGTGTTTTTTAGAGGACACTCGTAGTTTGTGCAAGCGAGTTTTTTAACCCAACCAAACCTAACCTAACCTAATCAAACCCAACCCAACTCAAACCTATCAACCTTAACCTTAACTGTATTATTTAAGAATTCACTGCCGCTGGTTTTTCATAGAAAACAAATTTTAAAATGCTGCAATTTCGTGGTGTTTTATAGTGGACACTGTCGTAGTTATGGATAATGTGTTAAAAAGTATTTACAGGTATTTAAAAGTTCAAGTTAAGTTAACCTAAGCTAACGTTAACCCTAACCTTACCTTAAAACTTCCTAACCTATTCTTAATCTAACCTTATCAAACATAACTTAATACCTGCCTTGGGTGAACTTACTGTTACAAAGATGGGAAGCGGCTGTGAAGTCCTCCATATTAGCCCCTTAACTTAACTTAACCTTACCTTCACTTAACCTAACCTTAGCATAAAACCGTTTTATAGAAAACATTGTCGTAGTTTGTGCAATATTTTTAACCCAACCCAACCTTAACCTAACCTAATCTTAAAGTAAAACCACCACCTTACCGCCAAGAAGACAAAGAAGTGTGCACCTCAGGGGCCTAAATATCTACCAAACGAAGCATTTGCATAAGAAATGATTATCATATCAGTACTCACTAATGAAAATAGAAAGAAAATAAACACCATAAGAAATAACTCATCAGCAGGTCAGTCGCCGTACAGTACAGTGCTTCACTGGTGCATGTTACACTGCTCATTCATACCTGCCCCATTTATGTGCAGTCTTCTCCCACAATCCACTACATCATACAAGTTAACATGCATGTTCTTCTTTACTGATAAATTTTAAAATACCTTTTTTGCAAGACAATGAGAAAAATCAAAAGTTCCTTCACACCATTACCAAAATAACATTTACTAAATGTAAACAAATTTGAGTTTCAATGAGTCAATAACAAAAGGACAATAAGGCTGTTGTCTTAACAAAGAGCACTAGAAATACATCAGTGTGCAGCTCAAGGGGGGGGGGGGTCAAGAGGGCGTAACATGAGATAATTTGGTCAAATACATCGGTAACTAAGTGCCACCAACACCTGTCTGTTCATGTAATCTGACAATCGCCAACATTCAATTCACCCTTGCTACATCCTTGGTAGGTAGTATGCAGCTATCAAACAGGGAGGTACTGCCGCCTGGAAAGATATTGGAAGAAATAATATATTGTCTAATACAGTAGTAGACCCTGCTGCCATATTGGCATCACAAAAATTGTGATCAAGTCACAGGTTGCTGATCTGACTTCTGCCTCATTTACACAAAATTGCAGGGTTTCAATTGTTTCTCTTACTTTGACAACACAACATAGACACTGTACGGTATATCATTTCTCACTCTTGATTTTTTTTCACAATCTGTGTTGTGACCTACTTCTTGTTGTGACACTTTTATATTAACAGTGTCGCTCATAAGTCAGTCCTACTCCCAACATGTCATCCATTGTAGGGATCAAGCCAATGTGATAAGCATTCTCTTATGAACCATATCATTCCTCACATTCATGCTTAGTTTTCTGGCTACCATTCTGAGGGACAATACAGTTTGGAGGATTCTGGTATCGTTGCAAACCTCAACCACCAAAACACACACTGCACTATGTCATGATGGTCTAATAAAGATGTAACCTATTATGTCAAATAATGTAAACTTGATTGGGTAAACTGTTTCGTGGATTTATTAACAAAATAATGGTATCCTTCCCTAGTCCCTACTATGAAATGGAAGTATCAGAGCATGATTGTTGAACTGGGAGGGTGCTTGTTTGTGTGTGAATGTAGGGAGAGGTGGGGGGGGGGATGACAGGACAACGTACCCGTCGGATACTTTGCACCATCATACCATCCGCATACTAATCGTCTTCCATACCTGATAACTTTGGGGGAAAATCAAACATCGCTTCAACATTCCTAAGACTACAAGTTATAAGTATTACTGTGCTACGAAAACTAGTCTCCTCTATACAATAGACATTATATCCCCTAAGCGGTATAAAAACAAAAACAAGCGCATATTACGGAACAGCTTATTCAAGAACAGTAAAATGTTTAACGCTGCCGAGTGAGTCATGCACCAGCTGGTCCACCTTACCTGCCACTCTGCCAGATGCCGCAACAACTGATTCTTGTCACACCACTGTCACTTAACGTACTGTGATGTAAACTGTATTTAATTGTTATTGGAAATTTGACCGCCAGGCTATTTAAGTTTGTCTGAGTTGACAAATTTTTATTTAAGTATACCGTATGAGGAGTCACCAGATGACAATGCTTTCCGGTACGTATTATCATCTCTATGTATGGAATCTGGGTTGTTGGTTACTAATAATTTATAGACACTTAAAAATTTGATTGCTTATAAAACTTATCGTAAAGATAATTTTTTCATAAACGAGTTGGACACCTGTACTGTCTCCCAGCATGGTGAATAATTCTCTAAGCGAGTTTTCGGTATATCAATGGAACTCTTCCATCTGACCACGCACCAATATCTTTATGGTAACATAACCAGGTATAAAAAGATAAGTAATCGGTTAAGTTTGTAATATCGATCAACATCTCTTCTTAACTAATTAAACACAAATATATATTTCAGAACCGAGTGTTAATATTAATAATTTGACAAAAATGTTACAGATGTGTTAAACTGTAGAGATGTTCATAAGTAAGTAGATCTGCTATTACGGTATAGTAGGTAGTGGGCAGCTATCAAACGGTGGCCGGTAATAAAGTCACAGGGGAAAAAAGTCACAGAAAAAAATTCACAATTTTGGCTAGGAAAAAGTCACAGGAAAAAAGTCACATTTAAGGTAATAAAACTAAAAATATTTTAAAACCGTTATTAACTGACAATACATGACTTTTACATATTGACAACACAATTTATGTGATGCACGTAGGTTAGGTTAGGTGAGGTGACTTTTTTCTGTGACTTTTTCTGTCTTTTTTCTGTGACTTTTTTACCTGGATTCTATCAAACAGGGAGGTACTACCGCCTGGGAAGATATTGGAAGCATAATGTATTGTCTAATGGTAGACTCTGCTGCCATATGGCATCACGAAAACTGTGACCAAGTCCCAGGTTGCTTATGTCTTTCTGCCTCATTTACACACAATTGCAGGGTTTCAATATTATTGTTTCTCTTACTTTGACAACACAACATGCATACTGTATAACGTTTCTCACTTGACCTTTTTTGTATTTATTTATGGTCTTTTATTATTATTATTTTATACAGTACTGTATTGTGTTTTTATTCAATATTTTTTTATAATTTTTTATTAATTTTTAATTAATATTATTATTACCATGCATTATTATAATTATTATTATTATTATTATTATTATTATTA